ACGAACTTTGTCATTCGGTAGATGATCGAATACCCATACAACGTGTTTAGCAGATATGAGAAAAGACTATCTTTCTTGAAACGGGCTAAGAAGGACGCTTATTTTCCTTCCTTCACTGGTCAGGAGGTTAATCAGCACTTTTAGTGTTACGAACTTTTATTTTTCAGTATTTTTTATTTTGTTTCTTATGTTCTGTTAATTGTTTCTCAATACAAGGGAACCCTTTTCTAAGGTTAAAGATCCCTCCCCGTTTTGGTTATTTTCTATTCCGTTCCCCTCTCCAATCCCCTCCCCCAGCAACCAACCTATATCGTTTGTTTCTTGACATCAACGGATCATGAGACAAACAAACGTAGTTTTCTGTCGAAGACACAGTTCGCTCTCAGCCGTGTTGTACTCAATTTTTCGGCCGCTTATCTAGAAAATTAAGTTTTCTGAAAGGACTTTTATTGTTCCAGCGAGAGGTTATTTGACCTAAAGCTGTTTACTTGGTGTCCTGCGATAAGTAGTAATGATGCACCAGCCGAAGTATTATCTTTCATAGCAGCCTAAAGTCAATCCAGGGTGCACTAAAAACTCTCGCAAGTCATGACTACAGTCAAAAGAAATCTGTATCAAATGAACGAGTAGTCAATCTGCATGTTTAAAGGGAGACGTTTTCACGACCGTTTGGAAACAATAGGGTCCAGTCCATTTATTTTCTACAATGCTTCGCAAGCGATACAAGGGTTAAGTGGGCTGTACTAACTAGACAAAACTTAAACAATGAATATACGCACACTGTTTGGTACCGCAAAGCCGTGCTTTTGTGACCTCGGTGTCGAGTTGCACTCGCCATTTTGTGTGTGATTATCAAGACTGGGAGTTCGAATCCAAATAGCAGCGTTAATTCAGAGGTGCACGTGTCGCTGAGAATAGAACTTGATATACATGTAGTTCACTCTAAGCACAGGTAAATTGGTCATACACAGAGCATGATGTAAGTTGTTATAATTATGTTCAGCTCCTTCTTGAAGACAGCAAGAACACTTACCCCCTTTGTGAGCCGGTTAGAGCGAATTGTGACAGAACGCCTCGCATCGGGAAACCATCTTTGTTACGTTTAATCATGAACAGAACTTTAATCGCAGGAGTTGCGTACTCCGTGTTCCGTCGCCCGTACTCGAGGTGACGATGGGATGCATTAAAATACATGAATAACGATTGATAGGCTATTTGGAAAGCTTTCAGGATGAAAAATCCTGCCGTGATATGCAATTTCATTCACCCTAAACCTGTCCATCACATTTTCTTTTAACGCCAGTTGAAACCAGGGGTTTTGCCTTTTAAGGAGGATATGCCATTATGGGCAAAAACATGACTTTTTTTCGGGTAAACTCAAACCCGGACGAATAAGCAAAACTTCAAAATGGCGGCACCTATACTTAAACCACGAGCCGAAGTGAATGAATTTGCATTTCAAGGCAATATACGCCCACTTTGTGTTTCCTTTATTTTAAGGCTTCAGTGAACGAACGACTTGTGGCTCCAACTACGAAGTGACTACAATGCAGGGATGATCCTCGCACTTGCTTGTTCCTTCACCGTGCTAATTACCTGCCGTCTTCTGTCAGATGCTCCCCTGGGTCTGCCGATTAGACACTTCACCGAAACCGCTCCTGACTGACCGCTAATCCCCCAACAGGACCCGGTGATGTTGCATCCCTGTTAACACCTTCTGGGGACTTTACCCGGCTAAGCCGAGCGCGCTGGGCTTGCCAGATTAGGCCGACTCAAGGATGATATCTATGGCGGGCAGACTTTTTTTCTATCTGTATTTTGCCATCCACCCAGGTTGCCACACTCCGCTCGCCGTCTGAGAAGCGTCAGGCAGCATGGGTATTTGGCGTGTCAATTCTTTCACAGAGAAGAAACCAGACGAACTGAATTACACCAAAGACATGGAGAACGAAAAAGGTATATAGCCCGTCCAGCGTCTAATATTCCGCCAAAAGCATACGAATGCCACAATGTCCAATATTAATCTCACTTTAATTAAAATCATAGTGATTAAAAATTCAAAACATTTACTATTAAGATAAAAAAATAAACATGAACTTGTTCTCAGTGTACGTAAAATTTTTAATACAGGCAAATAAATACAAATATAAAAAATAATATGCCTTACAAACTATAAGACACTTATTTACATTATATAAAAACTATAAATACAGTGTATGTAAGGAAGGGGAGCTAAGGGTAGAGACGGGGGAAGGGGTTGGGTGAGGGAAGGAGATGAAGGTGTGGGAAGGTAGGAGATAAGGGAAGATTGGAAATAAGGAAAGGTAGCAGGTGAGGGAGGAAAGGGGAGGGGGAAGAGTTTAGGAAATATTGAGGAGGTAGTGAAAAGCAAGCAGATTGACGACAGGACAAAATGGGGGGGGGGCAGAGTAAACCAAAAAAAACACATTATCTGGTAAGAAATGAATTAAAAATATGGATGGCCCGTGGTAAAAAGGAGGATATAAATCTGTTTGATTGATTTGAGAGCAAGTTGACGCACCCTACCAGATCGGTTTCGACTAAAGAAAGAGTCGAGGGGGAGAGTTGTTTCGGACAATATTTCAGTAAAATTGGCCGAGACATGACTCTGAGCTATTTCTTGGATCAGAAAAATCCGCACCAATAACCCTTTGTTCCTTCTTTTCAATACGTTAGAGTTAGTGCACAGCCATATTTACAGATGCACGGAAATTCTTCCTCATTTTCGATCAACCTTGACATAAGTATGTTTTGAATTTTCCCTTTTGTGCAGGTGGTCGTTATTTCATAATAACCACAACGAAGGCCTTCCGTTTATGGATTCTCCTTGTATGAGCGATACTGAGTGTGGCAAGATGAAATGTCCACTGAAAATCGTAAAGGAGTCGCTGTAACCGTCCGCTTCCTGCAGTCCTCAGATGTGGCATTAATTTCCAACCAGTGGCTGTGTTTGCTTTGTACAGAACTTTAGGGTAGCGAAGGAATTCAACCTTCCATTGGTCAAAATCCTCAAAAAGTTGACCCATGTACCACAAATGCCACAAACATTACTACGTATTCCATTTCTTCCACTTTGCGAAATTTGTATTTCTCTACAATACTGCTAACTTTACAGAAAAACGAACCAGCCGGTGAATAGACACACGCTTTTGTTTCTTACGGAATTTAAGATATGAAGTTTAAGATTTAAAGTATGCCTTGAAAGAACACATTTTTTTTTCAAAGGACGGATTATGTCGATTGTCTCACAGCCGAAATCAAATTCCGTCTGACCACTTATCAAAATACACTTTGCAGTTACGGTAGCATATAGCAGCACGGCAGAAACCGGATAGCCATGTTTCACGTAACTAAACAGTTTCTACCTTTCATTTCACTGCAATGGCCTTTGATATTTTGCACCGACATCGAGTAACTTTCCCCCTTTTTCCGGATCTCTGTTCCTTTAGGGTAACACAGCGCGTATGGTCTTGAACATTAAAACACTGAAGCAATCACCTGTACGTTTATATCTCAAAGCTGTGAGAAGTTGCTGACATTGTCAGCCCTGAGCGGTGTGAACCTGTCACACTTGTTTGCAGAGTCATCCTCGACTCAGTTACAACGCATCGCCTGTGCACCACCTCCTCGGGAAAAAAAAAATAGTTACAATAAGAACCATAGGCCTACTCAACAAAGTCTCAAACGAGTGGCGCACTGACTGACTACCAGAAGCAAATGAACTAGAGCTAGATCGGTTGTGCAAGAGGGCGCTCTTCACACCCTGTCCAAAAAACCCTCTGCGTTTCCTTTTTCAGGTGATCAGTGTTTTTTAAGGATCAGCCCCTCCTTTTCCATGTTTTTTTGAGCCAGAGCTGACTTTTCAGTTAGAAGCCGCCCCCTTGAGAATACTTTGATGACTAAAAGGGAAGGTGCGGGTGCAGTAACAGGGTCAGCAGGTAAGGTCGCTACGTTTTTAGGCAACAATGACGAAAACAGTTGGAAATGACGGCCCGTTTCTGAAGAGGCTTAGCAACTCATACTTTTAACAAGACGATTCATATTTAGTAGGAGGTTTAAAGTCAGAACGAAATGGGCTTCCGGTGTCCAGTGACAAGATGTATTACCCACTAGTGTAGGCCCAGGCCCTGTCGTCAGTTGTTCCCCGTCATACAGTCACAATTTCATCGCAAGTCACGCAGTCTCAAGTACACTCACGTACTGCGACGAAGTATTCCTTTGTTTGTCGTTGATAATGGCACTCGGACCCACTGAAGGGCTTTTAGCTGGATTTTTAAATTAAGAAGCATTATATGGAAGGAGGGAAGGAACTTAAGTGGACTCGACTCTATTTGAAGAGGTTTTGTAGTCGATTTTGTTAATTAATCACAGTATTAAGACCTGAAAACCCTGTGGTGTTAGGAAACCACCGTTTAGTGTTAAATTGACACTGCGTGTTAAGTTAGCACCAGACTGTTTTGCTCTTCAATCAGTTTTTAGTGTGTCGTCTCTGCAGCTTCATATTTTGTTTGCTCCGTCACAGTAAACTTGTTGATAAAAATCCCCCTCCCAGATCTTCAAGCTAAAAAAAGCTCCATGCCCGCACGTAGCTTTCACACAACTCAAGTTAAATTCAAAAAGTTTGTTCCTGTGTTGACGCAAGGAAGGCTCCTGCGAAACGTAACCATGTGGATCTATCCTTGGCATCTTTTTTCCTGAATCTTATCTACCAGGATCCAACCTGTCAAAATTCTATATTCTTGACATTTCGCTGGGAAGCAAAGTATTTGGCTATGGCTCTTGTTCATTTCCTGCACATACACAGGCAAACGTTTTAAGCTTGCATCCGGAATTGATTTACATACCAGATCTGGTTATCGTTAACGTTCTTAAAGCGCTAGAACATGGATCGCGCTAGCGATTGCGGTGCAGACCGGTAGGCTATCTGACGTGAGAATGCGCAGATTCTCAGAAAGAAGGTCACTTTGTGTACGATGACAAATGGTTTTGTGGACCGTCTACTGACATTTATAACGTAATGTGCTTATCTTTGAAATCTCAACATCAAATATGAGTTTGTGAAATGTGGTATCTGGCATCATGGTATAATTAAGAACATGTACGCGTTTCACCGATATTTCACACTTTCATTAATGGACTTATTTTCAATCACGATTCACCATTTAAACCTGGAGGTATAGACCTCCAGACGTTTATACCTTTGGTATTTTTGGCATCACACTGACCTCAAACGTAACAGGATTATAAATGTCGAGACTACAACGGAAACGATTACACTTCAAATGTCGATGAAAGTCTTATCTTGGTGAGCTACTGAGGTACGGTAAATCAGTCAGTAAAGGATGCGGTAATACCTGTTAAAACCAGGGCTGAGGTCACGGGGTGAAATTTAAAGAAGAAAATCTAATCCAAATTTAATTTCATTCGTCTTAAGACCCGTTCTCTGAAATTCCATGAAACTTAACCACAACGTTATGTATGTTATGGCTATGCCGTCAGTTAGAACGTCATGTATTGCTGCAACAAGTGTGTTAGTGTAGTGGGTTTCTTAACGACTATATCAATCTATTTAATTAATAATTGATTTCTGTAACTAAAACCTTTTTAAAAATTATAGGCGGTCTGTTGCCTTTACGGGACTGCACTAAAAACCGCAAAGACCACGGCTGCAGATTAAGCGAAAGAATTTGTAAGAGCGCCACCAATATGCTCCATCAGCAATTGAGGGCGCTGGAGTATATATATAGGAGAATGTTAATATATACGTAATGACTGGCAGCCCCAAGATTGCCCTTCTTCGAGGCTAACGGTAAAACTTTTCGTAAAAGCGTACAGGATGACAAAGCAGTACAAAGGTAATGTTTTCCAAAGAATATGAAAATAATGATTCGTAGAATTTACTTTAAAATATCAGGAGGTACGCACTAATGAATCATTGGATTTTTAATAGTTGTTCATTTGAAATACGCTTCCCCAGTAAAAATAGGTTTATTTTTCCGTTGCCATCTTTACATGGTTATCTATAGCAACTGGTGAATGAGAATTTTTGCTTTCATCTTCATCAAATTTAGTTAAGATCGAATGCAATTGTTCAGCCTCACTATTCATCTCATTTCCCGTGTCTTTCTCTTGTCATCATCGCCTTGAGTGGACTTTTTGCATAGTGATTAGGGACCTTTATGAAAAAGGCCACCTGTAGTCTGAAGGCCTGGACCGAAGCCGTCAATAGTTTTGGGAAACTGGTCCCCATTGATCACCTTAAAAAAAAAAAAAAAGTGACAATCACTTTCTCCCTACGAAGTCCCTCTGCAGTAGATCGTCGACGCCAAAACGGGCCTATAGCTGCTGTTCAGCCAGGATGCTATTGAAGGGCGCCCCCGACGCTAATCTCATGGCGCAGGATTGTTAGCGCTGATGGCAGCTTCGTTTCATTTTGTTTTCCTTTCTTTTAAAGCCAATTTCGCGGCACTCGGAATGCACGAAATGTTACCTATATATCAACCAGTCGCCCGAGACAAATATTTTCCTGTGATCCAGACCTTTCAAACCGAAGAACAGACAGTGATAAGTCGACCTTGGGACCTTTGCAACTCTCCAGTTCTGCTAGGGCTGCGATCTTTGGATGAAGCGAGACGAAGTCGAAATCGCTGGCGAAGTTACCGCTGTCAATCGCGGCACAGTAACTGTCCACCGCGGATTTCATGCTCTCCTTGAGAACCCTGCATTCGCGCTTGCATTCCGCCAAATTGTGGGCCCTTCTCTTCTCAGTGGAATTGATCTCGTCCTTGATTTTTTGCTTGGCAACACTGACTCTGGCCATCTCCTCATTGGCCTTCGCATCTACCTCCTGACGACAGTCTTCCGAGGCACTCTTGAGATCTCGCTCCAACTTCTCGATAGCTAACAATTTCTCCTCCAAGTCCTTTACTGATGCTTTGATGGCGATTGTGTATCTCTTGGCATCCTGTCTAGCCTCAGAGGCCGCCGTCCCAACTTCTCGGTGCTCGTGCCCGCTGTGTGCTTCGCTGGTGCACGCTTCACAGATCAGCTCTCGGCAAGTCTCACAGTAAAGTAGGCTCTCCTTCCAGCTGTGATCCCGGCAGACCGGCACGGATCCCCGCTCCCTCTGGTGCTGTCTGTGCGCTGCCTCCACCAAATCCAATAGCTTGAAGTTGGTCCGGAGGGAAGACACGCCGCCATCTTTCGGTAGGATCGTGGTTTGCCAGCACACTGGACACTCAACCTTAGACACGGCCGACACTTTCTCCTTTTCTAAGCACCTCTCGCAGACGCTGTGCTGGCAGCTGAGTATCTTTGGTTGTCTGAAGTAGTCTTGACAGACAGGACACTGGAGATGTTCCTCTCCCATTTTGCCCCAAATGGAGGTGTTAGCACTGTAAGCCATACCGGGACCTAGGGTTCAATAACAGAGATTCAGAAGGTATTCGGGCAATGTTGGCACGATTCTCATTCTGAAAGGAGAGAGTTATGCGCAAAAAAAAAATTGAAATTTTGAAATCAACTGAAGTTTAGGGAACCGTACTTCGCTGGTTCTCATATGAAATGCACGCGCCATGGGCGGGTCGCTACTAACAAAATAAATACCCCTACCTCTTGGCTCTTTTCAACCGATGGGGGAGTGCTTCCGCTCAAGGCAGATAGGTCGACATTCTGAAGGGACAAGTGGGGATGCACATTTTATTAAGGGGGGCACTGAAAACAAATTAATTGTGGCTTGTAGATAGGCTGTGTACATTTGAAATTTGCGGAGGGAGGACACCAAAGGGGCCCTGACTTCCACTGCAGTGGGGGACGTGCCAATCCCACTGGGTAAACAAAAATGGCGCGACTTGATATAACGCAGAGCCAACATGATCGCTAAGGAGGGTTTTAGCGTCAACAATCACACCCAGTGTTCAGCCATAGACTAGGTTTAATTCAAATCACATAGTACTTAAGCCCAGATGTCGTTCAGGGAGGGAATTTTGCACCCCATTCGCATTCTGCTATATCACTCTTCCAGGTCTGAATGCAAAATGGCATCGCGTACGAACCCCTCTGTTTTTATCGTCTTTGTTTAGAATTCCATTGGGAGTTATATCTGTCTTCAAAGGTGTTGAATTACAGTAAGGGCCATGCTTCGCATACTATTAGCTATTGATCATTGTGTATATGGCCTGAATAACGTTCTGTTTCTAAATAGGAATCGATACTTGCCAAAAACTTACCGAAAAGAGTAGCTCAGAGACGAATAATAGACTTAAACCTGTCCAAGCTGGCGGTACTAGTCAAAGCTTTGGACTTTGCATCTTCATGTTATTGTGAGTATCCAACATACGCCGAGTATAATCTAACGATAAAAGGACATGCTATAACAAAGCTCTTCCAATTCACTTGAACTGTTGACATTACCTGTTTCGACAAGCATCAAGTCATTTACTCATTTTCAGTAGCGCTGTACTGACCTTTGGAACTATTTCATTTATTAATTTTAGGGAACAGACTCAGGTGAAAGCTGTGTGAGTGCGGTCCCTCTGTACGGAATACAATAATTTCAAGAGAAATAGTATATCTTTGTATTAGTAGCACTGTAAGTTTACATTTGGGGTCGACCCCCCCCCTCTGAGACAAAAAAGTTTTTTTAATGGGGAAAGTAACAACTACTAAACTACATTTAAAAGCAAGATAGCATCGATTCGGCAGGTTCTCGTTACGGTGTTACAAATAGGTGACTATATACAACTGCTTAAAAAAAGAAACCAAAACTAATCTTCATTTCTTGCACAACCACCCTCTATTAACTAATGATGTCCTCTTTCTCAGAAATCCAATATACTGTCACAGATGACTGAGCACGAAGCAGTTCAATCGACCATGTCAGAACTGGCGGTGTGTTGCCTTATAATGAAGGACTCTTGGTTGTGGGGCTCATTCCTTTCTCTCATTAGTTCAATTTTTTACGGTTCACTGTCATTTTGATAACAGTATAGGCCTAATATGCAAGTTTCATAACCACGAAAAGAGGAGGACCTACGCATTTGTGTACTCCTCGATCCAACAATGCGTAGGCCCCCTTCATCTCGTGGTTATGAAACTTTCATATTATGCTGATATGAAACCGACAATGAGCTTCAAAAAAGTTCCCTGAAATATGACTGTTTATACAAAATAAGTCATATGATTAAATTCATACAAATAAGTTTTGTTTTACATTTGGAACAGATTACCGCATAAATACGTTTGCAATATGATTTTTTTTTGTATATATTTCACTGTGCGATAATTACCCGCGTAGATTTTGTCTAAAAGATATGTTTTGTGAAGACTTTTGAAACATTTACTAATATTTTCAACCCCACAATAACAACATCTTCGTTTTGATTTGAATGTTCTGGTTTTTTTTTTAAAGTTCGGATTGGTACAAATTTCGTGAACTAAACTTAGTTCCGTGCCCTATTTGCTAGCCCAAAGACTAAACGTAATTCAAACAAAGGCAAACCCGTTGTATCCGTAAAAATTTACACATTTTGTGTAAGTTATAATCTTTGTAAACAAAAGTATAAACAGTTTTTTTTTAAGTCTTAAGGATACACTTTTTCTCAGAACAAAAGGAACGCAAGACCTCATTCATGAATCAACCATGTTGAAATCGAAAGTGAGGGTAACTTCTCATTTTGGAAACTCGTGAGTATCAATGAAGTTGTGCACATTAGTGCCTGTCTACTTTAATGAATAATTTCATTTGTGATTAAACGTACTTTTGTGTTTTGTGCTAAATTGGGGGGGGAAATTAAAGGGAGGCTTAAATTCACACAACTAAACCCAAATAGTCTGATGATTTTCCTTTCAGCAAATAACAGTTTATAAAACAAATCCAAGGAGCAAAATTTTAACTTTCTAAGGAAAAGGGGTGGGGAGCTGTTAAAATACGAAATATCTCTGACTACACGTATTTGATATTATCTGAGTACCGTTCCTAATTCCATCAAAATCTTATCAACATTCTGAGGATGCTACTTGATACGATGGAGTTCGTGTAGTGAACACTGCTGGGCCGAAGAATAATAACGTGAAACTAAATTGAACATTTGCCGTGATTTGCACAACCTTCATTTAGGGCGATTTTTAATGCACTCGAGGTTCATTTTAATGTGCAAGGCGATGAGGTTGGGTGTGTACACACAAGTGAATCATATGGATTCTGATAAGCAGACCTTCTTACACGCCTCTAAATTGGCATGTTGTATGACTGATTGTCATAATACTCGATTATTATCGAAATAGGTAAATTTCCTTTTTTGTGCACTTGCAATGTGAACATTGATAGTAAACGCACTATTAGTACATATGCTTTTGAAAACATAAATATAATTTGTAGTGTTAAAATATGTCAGAGGAAACTTTGTACTTACGTAGAACGATAAATTTGAATTATGTACACCACTGTCACTTGAGATTCTTAGCAGAGTGCAAAAAAGTCTATAAATTGCTTTAAATGGAAAATCGAGGTGGTCGTTCCTTGAAGCTGCCGGAATGTGACTTTTCTGAATTCAACTCCACAAAGCGGAGCAAAGTGCGTCTCATTTATTGAGAAGTTGTAGGTTCAATCAGGGCTTCTGTGTTTAATAATGCAATTGATAACACTCTCTGCGTTCCAAGTCTACTTGGTAGCGACAAAAGGCTTTGCAGGTTCACAAGAGAGCACAGACTTTCGACGGCGGAGTCGGGGGTGGTGGGGGAGCGTTGGCACCATTTCCAGTGGGTCCCGTCGTGGTGGGCTGCGAGGGAGCTTCCCCCGTGGTCATTGGGCACACTGTGGGCACAGGGGTTGGGCCCAGCGCCACGGTCGAGCCCTGAGTGTTGGAGTCGTTGTTCGGTGTAGCGGGGCTCTTCACCGGTGCCTGGAACAGTTCGGTGTTTGCCGCTGGATGGCCTGAAATGAGGAATTTGAAAACGCAACCCAAACGTCAAATATTTCCTGGTACAACAAACCACGTGCGTACCTTGTATTTTCGTAATTTTGATTATTCACAAAACGAACGAACATATAAAAGGGATATTTAATTCAGAAGGTCTTACTCTACCGAATATAGCTACGCACATAAGCCCGAGCAACGAAATTTTACTTCCAATGAAGTACGAAATTCTCGTTTACAAACCTTCAATCATGCCGTCTTTGCTGGCAACGTCATCCTCAACATCCTTCTGGATTCCACACAAGAAGTAAGTTCGCATCTTACCCTTCCCTTTGACCTCGATGTCTCCCCGGGTGGAGAAGATGAACCGATCGTCATTGGCCTGGACCGCTCTTCAAAGGAATCGATTGACGAGAGTGCTACATTACTTGTTACGTTACGTTTGTTTTGTGCTCTGGTAAGGAACAGGTGTGGACCAATCTCTCACTCCCTGTTAGGGCTTAACAACTGAAACCTTTTTCATTTTCCCTTTTCTCTCTTTTTTGAAATGAGGTATGACGACCAATTCATTGTTCATAAATATATCTGGTAATTGAAATCTTGTTTCATAAATTCGAATGTGTATAGTTTTGAAGATTTGTTAAAATCTCCAACTGTCTTTTATTTTCTTTACATTGAGAAACACTCTCAAAATCAATAGAATGTAAATATAGCATTTTGTGATAAAACTCTTTAATTGCTATAATGTGCCATCAGCATGATCCCACGAGGATTGGAGAAAATATATTCCACACACTTGTGATGGAAAAGGGGCGGTAGGATGGCCCAAGTTTAGCAGCGAGCGGAAAAAAACAAACCCCCACCATAAATAATAGAAACAAGACACATGATCACCTTCTAAATTAGAATGCAGATTAAAGGTGCAAACCGCATACCGCAAAAGTGCCTCTACTGTCAGCGTAATAAAATCATTGCCAAAGTTATGACGTCAAGATGACGTCATCACCTTATTTTACATTGATTTTTTTAATATTTCATTTTTCCTAATAGCTTTTCTACACGTTTTTCTGCTTAACACTAGTCCTTTACTTCGGCTAAAGATTACTATAAGAACGAAAGCGTGTAGTCACTTGCCCCCTGCCCCAGGTTTTAAGCATTTGTCTTAGCCATTTCTATGATTGCCGGCAAAACCTATGAAACCTTCGTGCAAACTACTTCACTTTTTGAGCCTCCAAGAGCCTGAAGTAATATATGAAATTTCTCACCTTACCACTGCTTCGCTGGTATGCACCTTGCCTGGCACTCCCGTACTCTCCATTCTCGAGGCTGTGTTGACGGTGTCCCCGAAGAGACAATACCGCGGCATCTTTAAACCAACCACACCTGCTACGACAGGACCTGTGTGTATTCCGATTCGGATCTGTGGGCCAGTAAAGAAGACACAAGGTTGGAGAAATATCACCGTGAGACGTGTATAGATGCAATTTCTGAGGTGGGTTTGAATATAACACAAGGCTCTAAAAGACTGTGAATAAACTAGCGTATTCTTATGGATTCATGCCTTGACAGTGGATTTTGAAGGGCTGTAGTCTTAGTGATAAATTAGCAACTTTGTAATACTTTTTCTATTATTGTTCCCAACCTCATCTGGGCGTTTCACTGACAATAAACAGTTGTTCAAATACTGATCTACAGAACTAGTCTGCTGACCAACTCACCTTAAACAAACATTTCTGGCACTACTCAATCGTCATAGTCACGTCATAAAACGAGTTTCTTTGGCTTCCATCACCAGTATTTAATTGAAATTAACGGTAACGCATCCAAACAACGCGTTCCATACCTGAATGGGTTCCTCATTGACTGGTGATTGAACATCACGCGAGGCATTAAGCTGCTGCAGACCAAACGTCGCTACCTTTTGGGCGTGGGAATCGGTTTCCACGGGGAGGCCTCCTACAACCATATATGCATCTCCAATGGTCTCAACCTACGAAAAATTCACATATTGATACTGGTAATTTTAGATCGTAATCAGTTTATATTTCTGTGCGAGAAAATTTTGATACAGGTATTTTTTGGGTAGAAACCAGTTTATGTAATTTATAAAGATGCAACGTCTTGGAAATTTTATTGAGACTTCGTATAATGGGTTGATGCCCTCATAAAATATATGCATGATTATTCTTCAAAACGTTATTTTGACTTGATCAAAACTGTTCCACTTTTACTAGCAATGCCAAACAGGGTCATTATCTATATACAAAATATATTGAAATTAAGCGTGTTGCTGATAGACTTTCATTTGTGAAACTCCCCTCTGGTCCACCCCTTTGGCATGCTACGAAAAAGTGCAAAGGGTGTTAATCATTAACCTGCCATAATCAGACGATACTGACTGGAGTCATTAATCTTCTTCTTAGTCTGTACTAGACGCAGATATGCTTCAATAAAGCCCAGCCTCCCTTGGACGATTGTGTTTGCCAGCGTTCAGTCTTTATAAATGCCACCCTTTCATTTACGCCCACTTGAAGTAAAGCATTGCCCTAAGAGTACAATGTATTTATACGGACTCCGAGAATAAGTCTGATTTAAGGAGAGGAATAGAGGTACCCGAATGCCCAAGCCATTACCTGTCCGGTACGAATTTAGCGGGCGGTCTTCGCGCCGTACGTGTGCTAACCATTGCCCTTTATACCAGATACATTGTCCATCATGCACTCATGCGAGTAGGCCACACAGCGCCATCTATTGATCTCACGTCGGCGTGAGACCTTTCTCACCGTAACACCAATGAGGCACCTCGGACATGCTTTGGTCACTGCTATTTTGCAGTAAAATGGGACTCATAAGTTCATTTCCCCAGTTCTTTCTGAATAAATCTGATAGAAACACTCTCAGCCAGGGCCGTAATTGCATTTTTGTGAAAAAAAAATCCTTTTAGGGGTGTGGGGCTCGTATTTAGGGGGGGGGACACTTTGCACCATGGACCCATAAATGACATTTTCACGCTTCTTTCTGAAGACAACACAAGCCAACGGATGGCAAAAGGCAGTGCAGCGCCAGATCACTCTCACGTGTCTCAACAGGTTAACAAGTGGTCTCAGTTTACCACTGCCAGGCCCAGCCGGCCCAATAATAACAATTTCAGACAGAGGGAAATAAACTCTCTGTTGTGGCGTCAGCAATACAGCTCCAGACACGCTGATGATCCCAAACAGTATTTCATCGGTCTAAATTCACTGGCCTCATTCGCTAGTACAATAGGAAGAGGGTATTTTCTTGCAAACACATGCTAACATATTGGACAGGGGATTTTTCAGACTGGCTTCAGTGACAGCCTGGGTGATCCCAAGATTGAACCCCCCTCTAAAAGTAGCAGCACGAGGATTTAGAAGTCACGGGGCTCGGTTGGGTCACGTGCAGCATTTGGAAAAACAATCAGATCTCCTGATTTGTAACACGAGGCTGTCACGCCTTTCACACGTTTGAATCATCTGTGCAGCGGCCTGTCATTTTCCGTGACCATGATTCACACGACAGTGGTTCCCTTGTGGAAATTCAGGTCGTGAATACCTTGTAGACACCACAGACATTTGTCAGTCGGTCGAACCTAGTGTACATCGCGTTAAGCAGGTGGACGATCTGGATGGGCTGGCATTGACTGCACATATCAGTGAAATGTACGATGTCACTGAAGAGAATAGTTACTTGTGGGAACTCCCCTGTTTGAGGAATGAAATAGACAAAGAGAAATGTCCTGTTTAGATTCTGAAGGGGTTATCGTGATACTGGGGTCTGCAGCGATGTCACAAACCGGCTGCATAGCTATCTTATTTTCTTTAACAGGGAGATCCAAACTGTTGGTGAACATTTTAAGTCATAAGTTGTTCAATTTCACGATAAACTTCACTGTTCATCACTGCTGTAGTAATGTTTAGGAATGCTGATCAAAGCTGAATCAGAGTGGCCAAGGGATGGCAGATCCGTCTCTTAGTCACGAACAACGCTAACTTTCAACCTGCAGACCTACCTGCTGTGACATTCCGGCCCTCTCGTAACTCGTCTGCTACCTCCTTGGGCAGCATGGAATACAGCAACGTGTCTGTCTTCTTCTTCTCTTCGGCCAGGTCTCTCATCAAGAGTCTCAGCTCCTCCTTCTTCTGCTCTAACTGCTTGGACAGCTCCACCTCAGCGATCCGCTGCTGGTTGAACAGGATGAGGTCCCGCGTGATGTCGTGGGGAGCTATGTCTGAGAAGTGAAGGCCCCGCTCTGTGAGATCCTCAAGCTTGGTAAGCCGTGGCGAACATAGGAACACCATCTTCTGCTCGGACTCCATCCATACCATCTGACCTGTAAAAATATTCTTACAATCATACCGCATTGAAATCTCACTCCCTGGAGCCCTTTGAATATCGAGTTGTGTATAATATTCCCACTGTGATCAGTAATGCTGCCGGATTTCCGATAGCGCTTCTTTGGTATACCTGCTTTGCTGTTGGTATCTGCCTTGCTATTGGTGTCTGCCTTGCTGTTGGTGTATGCCTTGCTGTTGGAATATATCCGCTTTGTTGTTGGTATATTTGCTTTGTTGTTTGTATCTGCCCCGCTGTTGGTATCTGCCTTGCTGTTGGTATCTACCTACTTATCGGTGTCTACCTTGCTGTTGGTACCTACCTTGCCATTGGTGTCTGCCTTGCTGTTTGTATGCGCTTTGCTGTTGTCATCTGCCTTGCTGTTGGTGTATGCCTTGCTGTTGGTATGTGCTTTGCTGTTGGTATGTGCTTTGCTGTTGGTATGTGCTTTGCTATGGTATCTACCTTAGGCTAAATAAAAGACTCTGGTTTCTGGTCATGGGCTTGGTCAAAAAGCGGTGCGTTGACGCGTTTTTTTTCTCCTCTTTTTTTCGTAGAAGTTATCATCTGTTAATGCTTTTATTGTGAAAAACGAAAATGGAAGTCTTTTACGTACCTCTCAAGGAAATTGTGGGCTTGTCTTGCATGTCACTCCGCAGTTCCTCCTTCCTGAAGTCCACGATGAAAATTGACGTCCTGAAAGATCTGAGGCTCTTGATATTAAAAGCGATGTTGGGGTGCCTGATGCTAAGGAAGTCATCTAGTCGGGCGCCCTCTTCCGTCACCCGGGGGCAAAACTGTTGAACCTTGACCCCGCAGTGTTGGATGACGAGGTGTCGGTCGAACACGAAGTGATACGGGAAGGAGTGGCAGAAGGTCAATGGGTCGATCAAGATCTTGTCTGGTATCTTAGCCAAGAACTCCCCGTCCTGGTGGGTGTCCATAACGGTCAGAATGTCAGGGGTCTTGTCTTTTGTTGGTGAAGACCTGTCCTTGTTGTCCTTAGCCAGGATAGAGAGCCACTCCTGCAGGCAAAATGTAGTTTGGTAGACAAACACCACTTTGCAAGATCATTTATTTATCTGTATTTGTAAGTTTGCCGTATTCCTAAAAAAATACCCTATACGTACCAAAGCTCAATTGTAAAGATTCCTGTGAAGAAGCACAATCCATGTAGGCATACTCGTGGTCTTTTGAATTATTATTCCAATCAAAGATTGTTCGCTAACAAGACTGGATTGAATATATCAACTACGAACTCATACTTGGCAATTACGTTGCAAAATTTAGATGTCCATGTCGATCAAGGATAACGTTGTGTTATGGCATCCCCTCTCACATATTGTCTGAATATTTGCAGTCGTTCTCATGTTATGACCGTAAACACTGAAAATTACAAGCGTATACGTCAGGTTATAAGAAAATAAAAAATGGCTTAACCTCCTGCTTGACCTTGCCATCCACGCCCATGGGTGGTAGGTTGAATTCTACAAAGCGCACGTGGAAGACCCAGTGATCTTTACGGACACCCTTGTGGAACTCCTCTTTATACTCAATCACGTCCATATCAATCCGCTCGCGAAAAATGATCCTAGAAACACCTTTGATGACACCTGTGGTTGAATGGAAATTCAAATTTGAACGTGAACATTCACCTGGGTCTGAATTATTGCAGTCCATCAAAGCAGATGACTGCGTCACACCAAAGGATGGTCTTTGGGATAAAAAAAGATATCACGGTGTGCAATGAAGGGGACTGACTGAGAGGAGCAGTTATAGCTTAAGACTTTAGAGGTGGGACGAAAGCCCAGTTCTCGGTGAAACCCTGGCAATCATGTTGGGACTGAAAACCCAATGCACCTACGACCGAGCTAAGAAACGAACCAGTGGAGGTGAAAGACAAGGAAAGATAACCTGTGCCATTCTGACATCTGTTTTCATTTCAGCCATTGAAAAAGTCCTACTCCATTTGGCTGTTGCTGCTGTAGCTAGTGAAAAGCTGGGGTTCCTACTCATTGAAAATTATTACACAGGTTATTTGGTCTCAGCCTATCTATTTTTACAGAGAATAATGATTTTTGCATTTTCCCTGTGCCTTGTCTGGTTCATATATGACTGCATCATATTAGGCGTACTGTATACAAAAATGTTGACCAATGCCCCAACCAACGCTACCCTTGCTCCGCCCCACAAGTACAGAGTGGGCGTGTTTTAACTTGCGACTACGTCACACTCATTTGGTTGCCGCAGGCTGGGTCGAAAACGGGCAGTGAAAATCAGTTTATTAGCGTCTGACCTGATACCACGCCGTTCAGTCCTCGACGCACAGAGAAGTAGTGCAGAGTCAGGCTGCCGTCCTGCCGTGTCTCGGCTCGGAACGACGGCTCGTCCATCATCGGGTACATGGTCTTCATGTAGACGGTGTGCATGAAGTCCAAATTCCCGATGAACTCGGCCAGATTCTTACCCAGCGTGCGGATGAGCTTGTCATAGCCGATGCGCATGACCCAGGTCACCCAGAAGACCCCAAAAAGCTCGTAGACGCTGTCGGTGTCCACGCCTATGAAAACAAGATTGTGAAATGTCAGGGTGTCGTGGCTTATTCATGGCTGGCTCAAAGGAAATTAACCTTCAAGCGAAATGTATCCGTGTGCCATTCCCTTTGCGAAAGACTGTGGTTCTGTTTATAAAAGGCAGATTCCTATGTCAACAGTTTTCTTGTATTTGTACCAATGCTAACAAAATTCAAAATAAATTGCTCATACGTTATTCTGAACCATGCACTGAAAATGCATTTTGAAAGGAAGTAATCGTTATTTATATATTTCCATGTGATTTGTCAACGTTGAGCGCTTAGTGGTACCATGAAAAATGTTACCATGGAATATCATCCCAAGAGCACATTATAAAGTCGAACTTTGGCTAACATTAAATTTTAATGCACAAAGGTAAGCACGTTACATTATGACATGTCAGCGATTTAAGCAATTGGGTGGTTGTTTCATTTTTTTTTTCCTTGGGGGTTGTTCTACTTAGATTTTCACTGCTATTATTATATTATTTATAACTAGCTCCAAATCTCAAAATAGCCTAAAGATTGTTTCTACAAAAGGGTGACACTGGGTAGTAGGCTCAGCCCTGATTATTACGAACCCAACAAGTTAGCCGCAGCCTCGGCCAGGCGATAGGTAACGTCGTCACCATACTGTTGAAAGTTGACGAATTTGTCTTCAACCCCGGCGTTTTTACTGTGGGCAAAAAATACCCTCGATTATGGGAGGTGCATGACTAACGTCGTTCACTTCAACTTCTCCAGCTAGACCACATCAGTTGTGACGTCATAGCTCTCTGCTGCCACCAGGAACAACAGCCACTCACGCGCCTTTAACGTTTATCCATTTGCCAATGAAATACAGTTAACATTCTGACATTCATCCATGCCAGAATATGGTATATACAAGTATAGGCCGTGTCCGAAACGGTTTTCCAGAGCTACGGCTAGGTCTATTGTCTACGCATCTCCACGCATTTCCGATGGAGTGAAGACCTAGACCTAGCTCTAGGCAACAGATTCGGATCCAGCCTAAGTCTCTTGCTACGTTTACACACATGATTTTCGTAGGCTAAGTTCAAATTTGCTTAGCAAAATAGCCATGAATGTAATTGTATTCATTTGATTATTGCGAAATCATAAAAAGCCCTTTCAGATATCATTCTGTTTGTACCAATTTAAATAAAGTTCCGAGCATTTCCTCAGAAGGTACGACTTAGTTGAACCATTCAAAAGTGCACTTGCATGACAGGATGGAAAGAAACATTCTGCTGTAAAGCCGTTCACTGACAAGTCTTTCGAAATGTTTGAAGACTAAATGCAGCCTTTCCTCTAACTTTGCAAGCATAATAAGCCAAGCTCTAAAGTCATGCCGTAATAAAAACACACATCATTCATCCTTCGAAGAACACATCGGCCCAGGAGCTCCACTATTATCCGTGATCGTCGTCGCTGAATCTACTCGATCCCTTATTGTGATAGGGAACGAGAGTCCAATCGCTCCCGTCGGGGCGTGGATTGCACTTGGCCTTGAACCCGGCGACAAGGACTTACCGTATAGTGTCCCACGTACTTTCGCCGAACCTCTCGAGAACCAAGTCCTTCAAGCAGATTTGTATGAGGCCGTACTGTCGTTAAAAAATAAACGGGGAAGAAGCGGATTATACTGTTGTTTGGACAATGCCCGAACAGGTATAAGTCTTCAGTGGCATTGCTGCTTGTTTCAATGTAAAATCAACAAAAACACATTATTCCACGGCAAATTTTAGAATCTAACATTTGACAATATTTAAAATAAATAAAACTTTCTCCTCGCTACGAGCACTCTACCGATTTATCGATGTTCTGCACGATTTGACTTAAGACTTTCAGGTTCAGTAGAATATGCATTGAGCGTCCAAGGACAGGCAAGCTCAAATAAACAACTATCGACTGTTATCAGAAAAAGTCGCGGGACAATTTTCCATCTCAGGCAACAAACGAAGTGGACGTCCATCTGTTTTTGGTTTCGGTTTTTTATCACAGCTTAGATCCGCCCTTAAAAACAAGACCCACGGTTGATAGCTTCTGCAGAAATAATACCCGCTAGAGAGGGCTACCAGGAAATTGCGACCTTACAGAAGGCCAAGTGGATGGCGCGATTTTGTTACAGGACAGTTGAACTTATATAGGAGGAGGCCATTAATTTGCAAAGGTGTTCACCATAGATTTGCTTTGTTACCCTCTTTGCTACTGAGGTCTTTCCAACCGCACGACATCTTGGTCAGCTGTGATGTGTTCTTTCTCTTCACCAATGTCCTCAGCCACCACCATCGCTAAGGACTTGCGTCAACTCATCTAACCTCTGCTGTTCTACAAACAAACGTCTTGAACCCTCATGGTGGTATCTCTGGAGACCTCCCCCTCAAGACTCGATGGACACAAAGCCCATCGCAGGAAAGGAAACCTTGAAGAGACAAGTCATCTATCCGGAGGACCCACACCGAAGACATGCACTCAGATCAACTGGAGCCAAGAAGAACCTATCACCAGCATCGAACACTGGTGCCCCTGGCGCATCGGGGAAGCCACCGAAATCCTTAAACACAAGTTCCCCCAAGATATCGGTTTGAAAATCAGCAACATCAGGCGCCCCTTCCTCACATCCCATAATTATAATCACCTAAGAAGTCTATCACAAACCAATGTTAGTATTCAAAGGGTTACAGAAATAGAAAACAGTTAGATCGCGTGAAGTATTTCAAAATAACAATAAGTACGTAACCATTTCCAAAACATCACAAATTTAATGTTTACCCCATTAATTGTGACCGCAAAATGAATAAAAAGATCCTGCATTTCCCCGCCTACAAAAAATCCTCTTTGGGCCGTTCGCACTCCAAGGCTGATTCGATGACGTCATAGCCAGAACGATGCATTAACAGTGTACATGTACATAGCGCACAGTACATGCAGTATTGCACGCAGTAGACAACGTTGTGTTTGATGTAGCTTGGCCCACAGGCAAACACTGTTTTAGTTCAAGGTAGAAATTAAAAGACGCAGTCCTACCGTGTATTAACGGAATTTTATCTTATTGCTTTCCTTGCTACATTTAGATTCATAAATAGGAGAGTTCACCTAATTTTCTGTTGAAGCTAACTTCTGAGTGAAGTCATTTATTAAGTTTAAAGATATCCTGTTTCCCACTCTCGTGTGCTTATAGATCCTGAATGTTAAAGGTCACATAGCGAGCTTCCAGAACCCTCGCGCAGTCCGCCTATGGGGATTTTACATTGGAGCTGTTTAAAGATTTTTTCCATATAAATTGTAAAATGCATAAAATATTTTACTCTGTTTTATGTCAATCTTTACTGAACGACTACCATATAGTTACTGAACGACTACCATTTAGTTACTGAACGACTACCATATAGTTACTGAACGACTACCATATAGTTTTTTACCTGTTTATCTGCGTATGAGACCAACGAAGTGGTCGTCATGTATTTTTTATTTCTGAAAGCGAGAGGTCAATTTTTTTGCAAAATATTTCTCTTTCAGGTGTAATAACATTTTAGTTTCTGTAAACAAATATACCAGCAAATATTTCACGAAGGCCTTTTTCCGAGGTTATTTATTTAAGAAGTGAACAAACGGAAAAATTAGTAATTCTAACATTGTTGCACGTTATTTTTCCTACCCAAGAGTTCTGGAAACACACAACGAGGGGGCAACGTTTAGTCTTTCTAGAGCCATTCCTACTTTGGAAATATGAGCCTTGGACATGGAAATGAAAGTCCCCGATCTAAGCATTGGATCAAGTGGGATTATACTCTTTGCATATACGTGTATTCGCTGAAGTTGAATTCGAAAAAAAAATCAAAAAAAGAAGAAAAACACTGATTTAATAAGGTGGCCTTCAAAACAGCATGTCACTGCTTTTGTAGGTTCTCTAGCAGAATGACATTGTCATTGTAGAGTGATGATGTGATTGAATGGACTTGCATAGACGACTGATCAGTAAACTCTAATTCAACAAGCAATATATTAAATAAAAATTTCAAGGTCTTGTATAACAAGAAATAAATTTTCTGCCGTAGGCACGTAGGCAGAAACTTGTACTGGAACTCGTACTGGAAAAATGTCGATTAGTGTTTTCTCTAGATTGAGCTCGTCGACCGGTTTGGCACTAACCCTTTCATCGGTATGGAAATGTTTTCTCTTTTGTTCATATAGACAGGTCAAGAGATGACACCTATTCTTTCTTTTTTTAGAGCTGGGCCCTTAAACCGCTACACAGCGATGTGGATGACTTGGAATGACTCTGAAGTATAACTTTAGCGATGCATATGCGCATTCGACAATTTTTTACCATCTGCATCACACGGACGCATTCAAAGATCATTTCACTCAAACAAATTCTTGTTACACCTCGGAAATCGATCTGGGGAGTGTAACCACATTTATTATGTGAACAAATATGTGATTGGTCTGAAGTAGTTGCGTGATGCGTTTAAGACCGGCTCAGGAGAATGGACGCAACTAATTCAGACCAAGTACACGTTTATTTGCATTCATAAACACCTTTTTAGGGTCAAAGGAAACCAATGGATGATAAATTTCCAAGGATTTTGCTCAAGAATTTTACTTTCAATTCCCCAACTACCCCAAGTCCATTAAATTGTATACTTGTTGTGTAAGCAGCCCGAAGAATCTCCTTATGTGGACTTGGCGCGCGCGTGGCGTGGCACGTGCCTACACACTCTTGACCAATTGGAATCAATTAAACTGTCTTGTATAGATGTGCCAGCGCATGATTCACGTTATGGGCATTGTTACATCGCAGCAGGCATCATTCAAAGCCAAATTGGAGTCAACTGACTCTTCAAACAGAGCGAATTGCTTCAAACTCGGATAATGAGTAGAAGAAATTACGAGTTTAGGGTCATTATGACTGCACTCCAGGTGTATATGAGTATATGAAGACTCTTTGTCGGGTTAACTTGACTCTTAAAACGGAGTGATTTTAGTTGCTGGACTGCATTTTAAGATTGAGCCTGAATCACTTGGCTAGTGATTATCAGTTGTTAATATACGGTTACATGACGCGTTGTTGAATACGGAAACTGTCTGAAGAATTTTGAATTATTTTTAACAATTAATAATAAATATAGGGTTCAGTGCCATCTGAAGCTTTTGTCATGTTATTTTCACCTCACTGATGAAAGCAAGCAATATCCTTCACATCTCTAGCTCTTTGATGCATTTGGCTTGATTGAGAGCATAATACCATCTGAAGTCCAAAGAGGACATCCTGCTTAAGACGTGTCTTCTGATGAAGACTTCTGATCATCGCTGACGCATTCAAAGGGCATTAGCCATCAATAAAAAGAGTATGACATTCCCTCAAGATGTTTTGGTCAATTGAATAGGATGTAGGCCTCCAGTCTGCTGTAAAGCCTTAATTGGAAAATTGTATTCATCTCACTCTAGACATGATAACACAGGGGTTTCGTCTGGTTTGCGTCTTTTCACAAAACTAAGGTAAACGAACTGTAATCTGCTATTGTGTGCTAATAATTGGCTTAATTAATCAGAATACCTATACAGTGTGTTAAAAAAAAGGAAACCGAGATTATTTTTTTTTAATATCTTGGACATGGTCAAATATTTTTGGAAATTGGTAACGACCTTTTATTTCCAATTTACTGTCACAGATGACTGAGCACGAAGCAGTCAATGAACCATGTCCGAACTGGTTTTGCACCGGATAAATGTTTTGGTAAAGAACCTTGTCAGTCCAGCGCAGACCTTTTGATTGGGCCTCTGAATTATACCACCCAACTTCACTTTTGATGTGAAAATGAACCGAGAGAAGATTTCCCTTTGGATAGGTGTGTGTGGAGATGGCACCATCATTGGACCCTGTCCCTTTTGATGGCAATCTCAATGGTGAACGTTACCTTGAAATTATCAACGACCAAATAGTACAGCAGTTACAGCAACACTTTGAACACCACTGTGGAATGTTTCGCCGCTTATGGTGGGCCCAGGATGGAGCCCCAGCTCATCGTCGGTTCATCGTGAGGGAAAGGCTACGAGAGCTGTTCAACACGAGAGAAATTGGGAGCAACCCTGAGATTGAGTGGCCACCAAGATCCCTGACCTCACCCCCTGTGATTTCTTATTGTGGGGACATCTTAAGAATCAAGTTTACAAGTCCCCACCCTAGGATATCAATGACCTACGTGTCAGGATCGTCGCTGCTGTTGAGACCTTAAGATGACAGAGAGACGTAATCAGGAATGCATTCAGAGCGATGAGAACAGAGCTGAATCTTGTGTTGAAAGGAACGGGGGGGGCAGACCAAAGGACAATGGGGTTAGGTCGAGGCAGGTAAATCACTGAATAGAAATTTTGTTCAAGGACACACTGGTCTTTCTTCCTTTTCGAGGTAATGAAAATTGTCGGAGCTAGGCTGCAGTGAATCTGGTGCAAGACCAGTTGACATGATTGAACTGCTTCATGCTCAGTCATCTCTGACTGTAAATTGGATTTCTGAGAAAGAGGACATCATTAGTTAATAAATTGTGGTTTCCTTTTTTTAAAACACAACTATAATACACCGATCCACCATGCAAGTCTG